TGTTCTGTTGCCCTTCTTCAGGGCAGAACAGAAATGTTATTGCTTTATGGGGTTAATATTAATGAATCTGTGACAGTTTATATATGGCTTGTCCTCGAGATGTTTTCTCTTTGCTATGCATTCTGATATATCCCAAATGTATTCCAGGAGCACTACATTCTCAGCATCGTACAAAATCTAGTGTACAATAACAAAGCAGCAAGTTAGACTTATTTTTTCTCTTATCTTGTGCTCTTCACTCATGTTTCCCGAGACAAAATAGCTTGTCTGTAGAGTGGTCACTCCATGTTCAAAGGACTTTTGTTTGTGTTTGATTTGGGCTTTCAGGAGATGTTTCATCTTAATAGTGAACTTGAAAGGATGTTTTAGAGCTGTGTACTTTGAGCAGGAAAAATACTATTTTGGTTCTTTTGAATTTTGCAATTTCCTGTCAAAGAAGATTATTTGTATCACTGTCTTGGTATCTGGCAGTGAATTTAGATTTTGGTGTCTGCTGCATATTTTTGAGATCCCTCTCTACCAGCCTATTACTCCACTGTATCTCTTACACTGGTACCTTAAGGTGCTCTTAAGTAGCTGCTTTTCTGTTCAAATTTAGAGGCAAAACTGATCTTTGAAAGAAACAGATACTGCTCCAAAGTCATTAACTTCATAAGTGCTCAGAACAAGATTTATTCATCTTGAACCCACTTTATTTGATGTAATGACCTCACATTACTGTTTGTTTTAATGTTGTGTTGCTATTAACAAATCATGATGACAAAATTTAATGCATGACTTCCAAGCATGTGCAGTCTTAATTTTATACTTGGAAGCAGTGACAATTCTAAACTCTGTGCATTCACCAGCTGAAGAAATAAAGCAAACCTTCCAGCATTAGTCTTATTTCGGATTTTCCCTCAGGGCAAACGTTCACACTAGTAAAGTACTAAGTTTAAAGAAAAACATCGAGTGACTGCTGTAGTTTTCCGTGTTTCAGGCAGGGGGGTGTGCATGCACTTCCCCTTCATTTCTCTGTGTCCCAGTTTCCAGGTTCTTTTTCAGACCAGACAGTACCTGTTATTCTTTTATGCAGTGTTTTCTTTACTCTGTGAACTTGTCCAAAGGATATTGCAGGATATCACCAGCTTAGGTTGTTTCCGTTCTTTTCAGTATTGAATTGCACTTCTGAAAAGCATACATGAAAAATATGACAGTAATTTGTAAATGCACAAAGGAATTGCTGTTAAATACTGAATATTTATAGGTTTCTTTGCTCTTTATGTTATTTTTTTTTTCCTGCCTAAACACAAATTCTAAATACTTTCAAAAACTATGTGGAATGGTATTTTGGAGAGATGTTATAACAAGCAGGGTATAGTTCTGGTCAAAGATCTCTAGTTCTCCTGAGAACAGCACTTTCCCTGGCAGGAATGAGGTTCGATCATTAGTGGTGTATTGTCACCAGAATGATAAGGCAGCATGTGTTAAGTTTAGCTGTAAATCAGAATGCTCCCTCGCTCACAACCAGACAGCTCGACTGCTGGAGTTAGGGACCAGATGGAAGAACTCATCAGTGTCTGCTCAAATGAGCTGGTTTTTAGTCGTGTTCAGTGAGGTTTGGCTATTTGATTTACTAACAACTACACTGCAATTTGAAGATGTTGGGTTTTTTTCCCCAAAAGGAGGGGAACTTCACTTTGAGATTAGGAATCGATAGCTCAAAATTAGTAAGGACATACGTAATTACATAAAAATGAATTAATATAACTGCACACTTTTAAGGTAGTTCCTTCAAATCAGAGAAATAGCAGGAATTAGTGGCCTTCACAATGAGTTTTGTTTTGCTTCAGAATCTTTATACAGAATCTTTATCTTTATGTGTACTTTTACAGAACAGTGATTATTCAGATTGGCAACTGTAACATATATTTCAACTCAGCTGGTAGCTAATAATTCATCCTAAAATAGAAACTACAACTTCATCCTACAATTACCTGTCCTAGTACGGTTAACCAGGTATTTGTGAACTTACATTTTATTAATGCTTTCCAGTGCTGGGCTTTGTTTGTGTATAAGCTGGTATCTTACTCTTGGTCTTTACCTTAGTTTTCTTTCTGAATAACTAAGTTAAGAGGATTGGGGTTTTTTTCATTTTTTTCACAGTAAAATACTTCTCTCAGAATAATGCAAAGCATTGCTGGAGTTACAGCTCTCAAATATTCCCTGGAATAGCTGTGCTGTAAAAAGCTGATTTATACTAGGTCCATCTGTTGTGGGAAGAGGAATTTGGGGGTAAGAGTATTTGGGGGTGAGGATACTTTATGAATAAGGAAAGAAATACATTTTTTCTCTATTATTAGGAGCTGCTGAGTGTGGTAGCCCAATGCAGGCAAAGCTGCTGCAGCTCTGTATCTCCAGGTCCAGTTGGTGGCAAGGTTGATCGTATATTCCCAATAGGCATGCACGTGCACACATGCTAATGGTGTCTCTGATTGGCATCTCTGTCTTGCAGTCCTTGATCAGAGAAGACTCTTGTGAAATCACCGGGTATTTTAATTAAAAAGGGCCGGACCTGTCCCTGAATTATCTTTTCACCTCTGAGAGGAGTCCCTGGAAGCATTTGTTGGGAGGGAGAATGTCTGTATCCACAGTTCTTTCCCATGGTGGATGAATTATTGACAGTGCTGAGAAGTGAAATCCTTTTCCCAGCACTACTCAGAGGCACTAAATTCATCTCGAGGCAGATGAGGCTAGAAGAAGTGGAAAGGAAAATCGCATCAGTCAAGGATAAATCTTTAATGTTATCTGTCATGTGTTACTTTGGAAACAGAGTGGTCTGAAAGCCTTGGTATTCCTCAAAAGTGGTCTCTGTGCCATTCATCAGCCAGAGCTGAGTGTTTGGTATAATTTTGCTACAGACAGATGCAAATGATCAATTACATTGCTTGAAATAAACATCTACAGCAGCAAGTGTGACATACAAAGCATGATACAAAATACCATGCGCTAAATTTTCAGTTTATTCAGTTATTCTTCTGAGTTTCAATAACCTAGTAAACTTCATAGTAAAATAAACTAGTTATTCTGTGGTGTGCTGAAGTGCTGCTTTCAGTGCCCAGCCATGGAAATATGGAAGACTAATGAGTCCACGGACTGTCAGGGAATGGATGAGCAATGGAAGTTTGTTTTTCTGGTTGCCATTTGTGAGGGCACATTTCCACACAGGGTGCAGGCGTTGATAGTTACCAAGCACCACTATTTTAATGTCTTGCATTTCAAAGTCCTGTGGGCAAAGGGTCATTAACAATTAGCATTCCACTTTCTTATCACAGCAGGACATGCTGTTCATATACTGGGCTTTGTGTCTTTACCAAGATAAATTTAAGTGTCATTAAATTCAAGGAAAAGAAAAGGCTGATGTGGAAAACTTCCAAAGCTTTTTCAAAGAGACCAACACTACCCAGTGAAGACTATATAGATGTTTGAGCCCTGTGCTTCCATTTGTCCAAGGGCTGAGGCAACTCAGCACTTTTCAGGCCCTACAAGGAGACACTAGAGGAATTCAGAGTTACAGATCTCAAATGTGGTATCTGTAGCTGCTGGGGGAAAACTTTTTCACTGTGAGGGTGACTGAGCCCTGGCACGGGTTCCTGGAGAACATTGTGGAGATATTTAAAAGCCATCTGGACATGGTCCTGGGCAACTGGCTCTGGGTGGCTGTGCTTGAGCAGGGAGCTTGATCCAGGTGACCTCCAGAGATCCCTTCCTCAGCCACTCGGTGATTCTGTGAAGGACCGGACTCCGTAGCTTGTTGGGATAGTTCAACTCCTTATCCTTCCAAAATGGACACACCAACTTATACACGGGATTCTTTCTGTTTGCTGACAGGTCTCATTGCTACCATCGTGTCAGGTGATAATACTTTATTTCAGGATTGCCAATGAAAGAATGACTTGGGGACTCGACTGTGGGGAAAAAAAAAAAGCCTCAAGCAAGTAGAGTTAGGCCTCAGTGACACAGACCCTCATGTGATCTGTTGAGTCATGGGGGTTTTCCCTATAGGATTTCTGATTTTACCAGCTCTGAACATTTTATATTGTGATCACAAATTCAGTGTTTGCCTCAACTCTCACTTTAGAGACCAGAGTGGAAAAATGATCATGGTCCTTCTTTTTTCACGTGCTGCCTGTGGTGTAGCACGTGTTTGTGCCTGTGGTGTAATGGGCAACAGAGCAGCCAGTTCTCAAGCTTATTGAGGAGGGAGCAGTACTGATGTTGACTGGGTGGGAGGCTGTGTTTTGGTTTTGCAGCATGTTATTCCTGGATGCCAGTCACACCCAACCGACCATCCCAAATTTCTCCAGAAAAGAAGAAACTTCATTGTCTTTCAGAAATAAAATAAGAAATGTATGTGTCAAAAAAAACCCCCCAAAAACCAACAACCTGTCAAGCTCTGAGGATGGGCTTAATGTGGCAAAAAAATGAAACAAAGTTCTTTTCAGTGTTGTGGTTAACAGGAAAAAAAGGCATGACAAAAACTGTCTGAAGGAGCTAGTCAGTATTTTTAAGGGAGCAGAGGGAGAGAGAACGGAGCATACAGAGAAGGAAGATGGCATCAAGAGCAGATGTAAAAGAACATTATTTTTTCCTACAGGACAAACCTGAGATCTAAACAATTCAAACCCACGTTTCTAGTGTTGCTTTGTTGTATGAGCAATTGCTTTTGTTGCTTCAAATAGATTGTCTGGTCATAGAAACATCACAGGGATTATTACTGATGTTCACAAGCTAGGCAGGATGACATGGGGCTCATGCCATGAATAATGTATGTGATCCTTGTTAAAGGTAAAAGAGCACAGAGTAAGAATTGTAGCACAGGTCTGCAGCAGTTTGCTTCCAAGTTGTAAGAAAAAATTCAATTTAATGTCTGAGGAAACAGACATTGTTTATTGTTTATATGTTTATTTCATTCCTAACTAGGTTTTGTTGTTTTGTTTTGTTTTTCCCCATAGCTTGCACCTTCTCTTCCATTACAAGAAGATTTTGTGTACCACTGGAAAGCAATCACCCACTACTACATAGAGACGTCAGGTAAAAAGAAAACATTCTGATTTTGTCTCTTTGTTGTGACAACTAGAATTCCCAATTTCAGTGTTATTAAAAAATAAAGATTAAGAAATACAAAAATGAGTTAGATATTTTATGACAATGCCAACAATTACAACTATTAATTAAAAATACTGTCTACCTCCATTCATCCCCAGAAAAGTGGGCATGAGCAACAGTGGAGGGAAGGTCTTCTTTCCTGAGAACCACGCAGAGAATTCTACCTTTTAACGTCTGACCTAATTTCTGCCTTCACATATTCTGTTTAATCTAAACAGACAACTACAGAAATGTAGTCCCTGCTGTTAACCTTCTTATTGTTTTGCATCAGAGATTTTCTTTTTCTTTCTAAGATTTTAACAGAAACCTTCCCAAAGTGATTTTGTGGTCATATGTTTTACTAGATATTTCTGAATTCTGTGTACTCAGTACTAGATATTTTTTCTTTAGTGTATTGTCTTCATGAAAGATATTTTGATAACATAGCTCTGAAAAGTGAGGTTTTGAGCAGATTTAGAATGTATTTTATTAAAACTTGCCCAGACCTTATTCTGCTCCTCTAAAAATTGATATTCTGATGAAATATGGCTGTTGTTGCTTGTTCTTATCCTTTTCTCTGTTTTCCTACATCAGCTATGCAACATTTAAATTTTTATTTTTTGGTCCTGGTTTAATAGTTTTTAAAGTGAATGTTACCCTGCTTTCCTCAGGCTTGTTAGTTCTGCATTTCCACTAAAGTGGCTGTTGAATCTGTGTTTGTGCCTGGGACTGGTGATCTTGTTTATATCAATATTTACTCTTACAAACTGAAACTCGACCCCGGGTTCTAAATAACCATCTTTTGGAACGCTATGTGATGTTTCCTGAGGTAGAAACGACAAAGTGGTAAACTGATACCTGCGATTATGTGGTGCAGAATAGAAGCTGACGTCTCTACCACACTTTCAAAAGTCTTGTGAAAAACAAGTTTCCACTCAGTGGATATATTTCTGTCCTCTGCAATGGAGGAAACTCAAGCAAAACACTCTAGGCTAACTGGAGGTTGTGGTAAAGACCAAAATCACTCTGATATGGCAGTTTTTCTTTGTGATCTTGTTGCCCTTTGCATGCAAGTGACAGTTATTTTTAGATTATTGCATAAGAAGTTGTAAGCACTTCCCTAGTGAGATATTTGCTCAAGTAGAATTTAACTGCAAAAAAGTAAAAAGGAAAATGTCCACCTGTGGACGTGCTCTACAACATGTTAATGCCAGCTCTCACTGCCAGTGGCATAAATCCACAACAGTCTCGCAACTGTAGTATAATGAAATCAGAATCTTACCCTTTCCTTCATGAGGTTTGACAGAATGTTATCTTGATGCAGAAAGTATAGAAGACGAGTCTAAAAACTTTTGAAGAATAAACAGCACAGGGTTTGGGTTTTCTTTGTTATCATTAGAAAAACCATTTGTGTAGTAATCTAGTTTGTAAAGCAAATTAAGCTGATCTTAGAGGCTGTTTATAGATCTCAGAATACTACATGAAAAGTCGAAGAGGAAATTATCAAGACATGGTGGATACTAACTGGAAGACTGGGAGTTTAACTTTTCTCTCCCTAAGCTTGATTTCTGGCTGTAAAAGTTTTCCTTTTTGACTGTGTAATTAATGCATATTTTGAAATTTGGTATTTCATCTTTTCTCCATTGCAAATTTAGATATCTGCCTAATGCATATTCCAGTTTACATTTCCAGATATGGTTCTGAAAATTCGATTTAAGACATGTTAAAAAACTTATAAATAAGATTCTTTAAATGAGCGGTCATGTTTTTAAATCTTAAATTTGGAACTGAACTGAAGAAAAGTGTGGACAATATTTTAATCATTCTTAATTGCACATCTATTTAGATGACAAAGCTCCTGTGACTGATACCAACATTCCTTCTCACCTGGAACAGATGTTGGATATTCTAGTTCAAGAAGAAAATGAGAGGGAATCAGGCGAAACAGGACCGTGTATGGAATATTTGCTACATCACAAGATTTTGGAGACACTCTACACACTAGGAAAAGCTGATGTATGTACTTCTCAGCAGAGCAGATTACGTTTTGTGTGAGTTCCTCATTGTAATAGGGACTGAAGTTCTGCAGTAGATGGTAGTGTGGGACACTGAAGTCTAGCAAATAGCTGTTAGCTTATTTTACCAATAGGTGACAAATAACCGTCTTTCTCAAGTGTGATCAAAGTGAGACAACCAGTGAGACGCTGACAAGGGAGTGCTTAAGGATGCTTAAGGGAGTGGAGCATCTCCCTTATGAGGAAAGGCTGAGGGAGCTGGGTCTCTTTAGCTTGGAGAAGAGGAGACTGAGGGGAGACCTCATTAATGTTTACAAATATGTTAAGGGTGAATGTCATGAGGATGGAGCCAGGCTCTTCTCAGTGATGCCCAATGGCAGGACAAGGGGCAATGGGTGTAAGCTGGAACACAGGAGGTTCCACTTAAACTTGAGTAGAAACTTCTTTACAGTGAGGGTGCCGGAGCCCTGGAACGGGCTGCCCAGGGAGGTTGTGGAGTCTCCTCTGGAGACATTCAAGACCCGCCTGGACGCCTTCCTGTGTGATCTCATTTAGGTTCCTGCTCTGGCAGGGGGTTGGACTGGATGATCTTTCGAGGTCCCTTCCAATCCCCAACATTCTGTGATTCTGTGACAAGGCAGAACCCTGAGATTTGTTACTTATCACTCTAATATTGACCATGAAGCTGGAAGTAAGAGAAACATTTTGTTCAGTCTAGAAATTTTTTGGCTTCTACAAGACACTATTATCCCTCCCAAACCCTTGTTAAGCATCGGGAGATTCTTGGGTGAAAAGTGCTGTATTAAATACACATTTTGTTTGATTTTTCCAAATGTGATGAGTTACTGCTCAGAAAGACTTCCATGTCAGAAAGCATTAATTTAAGCTCATCCCCAGAGACCTTTCACATCTGAGTCTTTGGTAGGAATGCAGCTCTTGACAGTGATGTCTCGTTCTTCTCATGTCTGGTTTGTGGCACAAGTGAAATTAGCTTCATGGTCTTGGTGCATTCTTATTGATACCTTTCTTGGTAGACTTATGAGCTGAAGTGTATGGGATTGGATGGATCACGAGGTGAATTGACGTGGCAGCCCTTGTGCTAAAACTTTTTGTATCATGGTACAGATGCAGTTAGGAAAGCATGGTGTGTGCTGTTCCAAGATGAAAGGAGCTCTCCATGGCTTTATTCTCACTCAGCCTTTTACACATTGTCATGAGTTTTTAATCTTCTCAGTTTTACATATACAGACAATGTATGGCACTAGGTGTTAGACTCTGGGATGTTCCTTGCTCTGGAAGGACTGGAGCTCCACAGTTCCTGTTACTATACCATCTGCCCTACAGTCAGGCTAAGATACCTGGTGTATTGAAAACACTTGCTCAGAAATACAGCTCGCTCAGTAATCTGTAAACTTTGTCAAGAAACCAAGATGAAACGGAGACATATGTGAAGTGGGTAATTAGGAGTGTTTTTAAGAGTTGAGAAAAGTCATGTTGCACTCACGCAAATATGCCTGTACAAGCAATTCTTGTACAGCCTGTCTTTATACTTTGCCACTTGTGAGTTGATACATCTGAAGTAAACACACAGTTCAGTGCTTGCAAGATGTTGCAAAGATCTGTTGCAAAAAGAATGATATCCCTTCACAGCAATCACTTAGACTTACTGTGTTACTGTAGATGCACCCTGATGGTACACATTTTGCCATTCGTTTCAACGGATTGCTTGTCAACTCAGTCATAATTAGGGGTTAATAATAGAGAGATAATTACCTTGGAAGGAGAAACAGGTTAGGCAGTTGTCATTCCTGGCTGTTGCAAACAATTCTCCATTCACCTCTGCAGTGAACTAGGTGAGGAAAATGATGTGGGTTAAAATTAAGCTATGGAATAACAGTGTTTGTTAACATGGTAGAACACTTTTGAGACAGAGGGGATTTAGCTAGAAACAAAGGTCCATAAAGGACCACGAGCCATCAAATCTCATGGAGATAGGAAAGTACTTTATTGTGACCTGGTGCATGAGGGACAGTAGAACATGGTTCTGGATGTTCCACAGATATTTGTGATTTGTATTCTGCTGAATCTCACGGAGAACAACAGCTTTCTCTTGTCCTTGAACAACTGTGCATTTATAAACACTTTATCTATCTAAGGTTAATTGCTTATGCATTTAAAAACCCTTTTGTAGACATTAAGGTGTTTATAGTTTATCATCATATATTTGTATCTCCTGACTCGCTGAGTTGCTGGATTTTGTGTCATGATACCGTAACAGACAGATGATCTGTAGCCAATTAATTCAGACGTAATTTCCCCTTATCACTTTATCAATAGGGAATATTTCCTGGAAAGATTGTTAGGAGTCTTCACCAGAGCAGTTAACTGAAAGTATGAATACTTTGAAAAAGAAAACAGTAATGAGATGCAACATTTTTTGTTGATCTCTGTTAATATCAATAAAAGTAATGTATTAGCAGATGATGATTTTTTAAAAAATACTTTTGGATAAATATTGCTGTTTAATTAGCCATGTTGAGTGACAAATTTGCATCTATGTTTCTCTCCTCATTTGTTATATTTTTGTTACTGTTAATCTATTTTTGTTTCAGTGTCCTCCAGGAATGAAACAGCAAGTTTTGGCTTTTTATACAAAACTTCTTGGAAGAATACGGCAACCTCTCCTTCCCCACATAAATGTGCATAGGCCAGTGCAGGTACTGTACAAATTTTAAGTAAACTATATTTTTGTATGGCAAGTTTCTCTTATTCTCCTGTAGCTGATGGTGTCTTTAATTCTTCCATTGTCAAGTGAGTTAAAGAAACTGCTCGGGTGCAGTATCAGCTTTAATGTATTGATGATTAGAGCCTTGAACTGCCACTGCTATGCAAGTCGTAAGTAATAAAGAAATCTTGTTCATAGCAGTGTAAATGTAGAGCAGATGTTCAAATCAATATTTATACATCATTTAGTATGTATATTGAAAAAGAATTCAGTCCATCATTACTAGAAAAAGCTCTAACTTATTCCCTGTCTTAATTGTTTGCTTTTCTTTACGTGACAGAAATTAATCAGGCTGTGTGGTGAAGTTCTTGCAACACCAACAGAAAATGAAGAAATTCAGTTTCTCTGTATAGTATGTGCAAAGCTGAAGCAGGATCCATACCTGGTCAACTTCTTCCTTGAGGTGAGTAGATCAAATAAAAATTTTCCAGGTTTATTTACTATGTCACTGACAAAATCTGATAAGAGAACTGAAGGTATTGCATTGTGCTTCATAGCTTAGTTTTCATTCACTCTGTAATTATTTTCCTGTAATATTAGAAGGTGTTTTGGTTTTGTTGGGTTTTTTTTTCTTCCACAAACTTGATACATGTGATTATTTTTACTAGAATTTCATTCAGGGTTCACAAATATACCTGCCTGACGTCCTTATCCTTTGTAGTGAAAACACCTTTAGAGTAGGGATATGAATTGTAACATAGAACACTGTGTGAGGAAGACCTTGAATTTCATACATTGTTTTGTTTTCATCCCAGTGAAGACTGAGGGACAGATTGCATGGGGCATCGAAACCTTGCAAGTTGCTAAGAGTTCTGCAGAATCGGGCCCTTATTTGGTACTGGCACATATGGTCTGTCAGCAGTGCCAGCTCACAATCTACAATATGACATTATTTTCTCTCTGTAAGAAAGCCAAATATCTTTACTCCCTCTTCGAACTTAACATGTGGCATTGATGAAATCAGAGTGGGAGGAGAAAGAATTTCTAGACTGACTTTCTGTTCCCATTTAGAAGGAGTATATAAAAGTTTAATTTATAAAAGTCCATTTAGAAATGCCTCCTGTGCCCACTTTGATGTTTCCTGTGGTGACACAGTATCTATTAAGCATGTGATAGGTAGGTGAAAAGATGTAGATACAGTGTCCTCCAGGAATATTTTAAAAGCTTTCCACAAAAAAAATCTGTAACAGCAGAGGCTACCTACTAAACTGCAAAGATACATTATTTTCCATGGAGTATATGAATATCACTTGTAATTCAGCAGTAAAGAATCCATCTTGAGTTTATTTTTGCCTTAATTAAATACCACTCTGATTGCCATTGTTTCCACTGTAGTTGTACAAGCAGTAGAAATGATGTAAAGTTTGAAAAGTCAATGTTTAAACATGAGAAGCATTCAGAAGCAAATTACTAAATACATTCATGCAGAATATGGTACAAGTTCAAACCAGGAATACTTTTAATGTCATTTGTCTAAGTCGTGTGGTTTGAAGAGAACCCTCTGAATGATACTCATACTCAAATAATGCCCTTGCAATAAAACCTGAGAACCCCATTCAGAAGAACCATAAGTGTATTGTCAGACATTAGTGTTCTTCCCCAAAATAGCAAGATTGGGATATTAAAAATCAGACATGTAAAACCAGAGTATTCCAAATTTCAGAGAGATCTCAAGTTTCACAAAGTGCTGACTATAGAGTTCAGGCAAGAACATTTCTTGTAGCTCCTGTTTCCTTCACAACATTATTCTTCAATATCATAGCCTGAGGCATATGTATTCACAACTTGTGATAGTTGTTTCCAGATAAGGTTTTTGGGGTGCAGAATTATCCTTTATTAGAATAGAATATTCTGGTTGTTCACATCTATGCCTCTTAGAGGTGCTATTGTTGTGACTTGATAGCTGTTTCTGACCTTCAAATGCATGAAAGGGTAAATATACAGAATTCTGTGTAGCACTTGTCTCTCACATCTCCCACACTTAGAAACTGAAATGCAGATATGTCACTCCAAAGCAGTCTGGTTGTATCTGTTAGTTTTGCTTCCTTCTTTGACTTTTCCTGATCATTTTCTACAGTATTTTATAAACATAAAAAGCTAAGTATGCAACTGAGGATTTCCTTTGGATGATTCCATATCATATAGTTTGTTGATAGAATGCTGTTTATATTTTAGTACAATCTTTCACCTGTATTGCTTAACTAATAAGGTTACATGGCATAACTGTGCCTCTTGGCAAGTTACTTTTGTTGTGGAAATAAGAACTAGAAGAACTGCATTCTACTTTTTTAAACCTTTGATATCCATATACTAATTTCATTTTGGCTTTAATTTATTCTTATATTTAAACTGAGTTTTCCTTGTTCTTATGTAGACAGAAAGAACATACATAGGAATTTTTGACTTGCCACCTCTATCTCAGTCATTATTTTATGCAAAACTTATCTTGTATTTTTCCTTGTTCATTTATTCCTTAGTTGCCCCATCTCATCTCATCCCATCCCGTTTTATGTGAGATACTTCTTGCAAATGATTGTTCCATGAAAAGAGAAACTTGATTCTCTGTGTTTCCATTTCTGCTCTTGAGACCTTAAACAAGTTCTAATGTAGTGTCCGTGAAAAAGTTGTACCTTCATTTTGTAAAATGAACATAGTTTCACTATTTGCTTCTACTCTCCTTACTACAAACTGCCAGCTTTTTATTTCTCACCATGAATTAAGCAGAGATTCTCAAAAGCTGTAATATCACTTGATTTTTTCACAGAATTCTTTTTAAATCAGTCTGAACTTAAGGCTGGGCATCATCTACCACAGATTTTGAAATTCTGATAGTTACATATCACAAAATTATAAAAATGTATATTGATGAAGCTGAATTCAGTTGGAGGAGTACTTTGTCTAGAAAGCATTGAATTTGTGTTTATGTAACCTTTTCTATTAGGTCATTCAGGATCCTGTTTTGCACCTTTACAGGAGGCAGGTGAGCAGCTACGCTGCAGAATTGCATGAGTAGACAATAGGAAGCTTAAACACGTGCAAAAACTCTGCCTGTGTGTTGTTCAATGTACAGATTTGCCTTCTGCCACCTGCTGATGTACAAGTAATGAGCTACGGACAAATTTCTAGGGGCATTTATGTATGTTAGGTTTTCTCATCAGTGCCTTAGCTGAACAAACTATGGCCTTTCAAGTGACAGAAGAGTCCAGGCATGAGGTAATAAGCTGATGTAAGATGAAATAAATATTTTACAAAATATTATCTCATTTTTGAAAAAAGTAGTTTTTCTCTTTGGCAACCCCACTTGCTACTTGAGCAGTGCCAGGAACAGTGTATAATCCAGGATTGAAATGCAGTTCCAGCCTTTAGTTCTGCTTTATGTGCAGGGCTCATCGTTGTGATTGTGATATTGCTGTCTCTTGATAAAATATATTGGAGGGTACTGGAGGACTTGTGAAGATTTAGGGGTAGACAGAGGTGGCTCAGACACACGCATTTTGGTTGTTTTGCAGCCTTATGCATTTCATACTGTAAAAAAAAATGTATATGTCAAAGGAGTAATTTTTCTACTGTAGTGAAAAATCATACTTATTTTATAGCATGCAGTGTGCTGCTTTTACCACTGGGTTGCCTCTCCAGGGAGCTGGTTATATGAGTGTATCGCAACATTCAGTACAAATTCTCCACAAAGAACGCACATCAATCGAGCAAGCATTCGCAGCAGTGCTCTGGTTTGCTGCCTGAGACTGTCATGCAGTTAGTCCCTACTAGTTTGTATGTACTAAACACCATTAACCCCCAAATGGTTACTCTTTTAAATTATTAATGCTTGAAATATATTTGTAATAATTTTGGTGTTATTATAGAGGAGGGAAACCCTTTGAATTTATAATCTTACTAATGTACTCGAAAAAAATGTCTTGTGCAGAAGTCTAATTTATGGTTCTAATAAAGTATTATTCACCTGTGCTTATGCCAGAAGAACACTGAATTCTCACCTTGCTATGAGTTTCTTTTTGCTATTGCAGATCACAAATTTAAATGTCATTTTATGTGCTGGAGACAGATTTATGGGAAGAGAGATGGATTGCTTTCTTTCAGACTAAGTAGAGGTGCTTTGTCACTTCTGAGAAGGTTCTCTGTGACCTGTTATAGTGTCCAGTACCTAATGCTAGTATTTTCTTCCCATTCAATCTCCTAAACATTTTCTTCATGAGAAACACAGCTTGAGAGTACTCTGCTGTCATAAAACACTTCCCCCACCCCCCCACCCCCCTTTCCTGTTTAAGATAAAATCCCAAGAAGTTTTGAATTAGTTTAGTTGTATGTCTCCAACTGGAAATAGTGTTTCAGACATTGGATGAATTTGAGGCCTTGACCTAGAAAGGGATGTTTTATCAGGTGTGCTAAAGTCTGAAGGTGCACTCATAAGGTAAATGAAAAACTTCTATCAAATAGTGGGCAAATCAAGTGAATATGTGCCTTCAGCAGTGGAGAGGAAAAGCTGCCATCTCTTTATAAATGGCCTATTCAGCCTTGAAGCAAAATGGTACAGGACTTAAGAGAAATTTAAGCAGATTAAAAAATGTGCTAGATTTAAAAACTCCCACGCTCCCATAACCCATTACATTCTACATGGTTACTGTATCCAGCTTTGTAGAGAACTACTTCAAATGCTGATGTAAAAAATTTGCTTTTAGTAAATTTCTGCTTTGGGATGAACAGTAATTTCAACCATGTAATTCCAACAAAATGCTTTGCAGAGTAAGTTAAAAGCAATGGCTGCCAAAGGATCAGCAAGTGTAATCACAGAAGACATGCTGAAAGGCCAAGAGTCTTCAGCAACAGACATGGGACAGCCCGTTCAGCCTGAAGAAATACCTGGTGCTGCTGGAGCAGAGCAAATGGAGAAGGAAGATGACCTCCTGCAACAGGCAGATGATCTCTCTTTCAGTCTGGATGAACTAAATGTCACATCATCACCTGAGTCCTCTACTGTTTGTCCAAATCAAGACTATAATTTAGTGAATTCTCTACTAAACCTCACTAAAAGTCCTGTGAGTTGTTTTTTTCTGTTCTTTTTAATGTGATAAAATGAAATAGTTTGGATGCTGTGTAAAGTGGGCAGTGAGAGTGAATATACATGTCCATACACACGGTATTTTAACTATAATATGTAATATGAGGTTTGTTTTGCAGACAGTTTTTGTATATTGGCAATTTTCTTTGCCAATTCAGATTAAAAGATTATTCAGATTATTTTAGATAATTAATATAAAAATTATTAATTATTATATATTATGTTTATTAATTTAAACTTTATATTAAGTTTGCATTATTTAATATTTTGGTCGTAAGCTGACCTACAGCACTAGTTCTGTCAACGTGAAGGTTGCAGTTGCATTCTTAGTATTTGACATGGATTCAGGTGATTCTTTATTTTATACTATCCAAATTCAGTAGAAATAAATTTTAATCACTGGAAAGGCAACAAAAATAAATGCATTCACTCACTGTGGGGGAATGGAGAGGTTTTATTTGGGAGGTTTACTTCTTGATTTCAAGTGAGCTTCATTCACCCTCTGATTAATTCTTCCATGCCCTTCTGCCAGGATGGACGGATAGCAGTGAAGGCCTGCGAAGGCCTCATGCTTCTGGTGAGTTTGCCAGAACCAGCAGCTGCCAAGTGCCTGACTCAAAGCACTTGTTTATGTGAATTGTTGACAGACAGGCTGGCCACCCTCTACAAAGCCCTGCCTCAGTCACTGGATCCCTTAGACATTGAAACAGTGGAGGCAATTAACTGGGGGTAAGAAATTTGTTGTTTTTTTTTTTTAATTTAATACCCAAGGTGACTTTACAACCCTCCCTGAAACTAGTTTTCTATAGGTAGATTAAATGTATAGACTATTCACACCCCCATGCTAAAGTCTCAAGAGCAGAGCTGAGATCCCAGCTGCAGCATAGTGGTACGACTTCAGGCCTCCAATGTATGTGTGATTCTGACACGGGGCCAGGTCTGGCTGCCAGTCCCTTCCAAAGATTCCTCAGGGGGCAAGTTTTTCCACTGAATTACGTTAGCAGTTTGTAGGGGTGTAGCTGCAGTATCAGGTACAAATTATTTTCTTGTTCAGATGTTAAGAATTTAGGAAACAAACTTTTCACTGTACACAGTGAGCACAGTAAGCTGCTATGGAGGGCAGGAAGAGTGTCTTTGATAACAGGCTGTTGCAATATTTTTGCAGTTAAAAAGAAGGAAAGAGGTTCTGCATAACTCATCAGCATGAAGCAAAAGATACCTGCCTGTTATCCTAACTGCTTGCATGTTAGATTCTCAAAACATTTCTCTTCCCCACTCTGCCTTCATTGTTATTAACTGCTCGTGATCTGTTAGTACTGAGACAAAAAGTAGGTGTGTGCAAAATAACTGCCAAAATTTCTGGTGGTTGGAGTTTGAAGTTAGAAGGGAAAAAAACAGAACTTGGAAGAGTGGGATAAATAATTATTGGACTGCTTTACCAAAGAAAATGGTGAATTTGTTACTCTGTAGAGACTTTAAATTGGGATCCATGGTTTTTTTCTGAAGGATACAGTCTAGTTCAGGTATACACTGTGGTTTTTGTGGGCTGAGGTTACTTACAGAGTAGAGAAGAACAATTGCCTTAATTTTATGGTTCCCTGACTACAGGAGTTATTGATTCAATTACTGTGGTCTGTGTTTCCTGGGAGGACAGGCTAGGTGATCAGTTTTCCCTTTTGACTTAAGAAATACTTAACCAAACCAAGTTCTGCTGCTGTACACGCTGTGTATCCTTTAGCATGCCACTGAAAACCTGTGTGATAGTAGCACTGCCAGATTAGTGCACACTGGCAGAAGAGCTATTTCAATGTTCATTTCATTGCAGGTAGATCATTAATTATTCTATTAAGTTCAGTAAGAATAAAGTCCAAGGTTCATCAATTACTTGTAGACTAAATAAGTATTTTTCCCTGCATTCTCTAGTTTGGATTCCTATAGCCACAAAGAAGATGCATCTGCTTTTCCAGGGAAAAGAGCGTTGATTTCATTTCTTTCATGGTTTGACTACTGTGATCAACTCATCAAAGAAGCACAAAAGGTTTGAAATGTTTTCAGATAATACAAATATATTCAGCAAATAAGTAGTTCCAGTTGTTTCTTAGCTTTTGAGTTTGAGACATACCATTTTGTACTTTTGTTTCAGACTGCTGCTGTTGCTATGGCAAAAGCTGTGCGGGAACGATTTTTCATTGAAGTTATGGAACCCCAGCTGATGCAAACGTGAGTAGCATCCTATAAGACACGGCAGAACAGACTCTGAATCAAGCTGATTATTTTTCAGAGGAAATCCACTACATATCTGACATGAATTGTTTTTCAGTTCAGAGATTGGAATCCTCACATCAACTGCACTATTGCATCGTATTGTGCGCCAAGTGACTTCTGATGTCCTGCTGCAGGAAATAGTTTATTTCATACTTGGAGAACACAGAGAGCCAGAAACTTTGACAGACATCAACAGACATCCATTGAGACACAGGTTAATCGAACACTGTGATCATATTTCTGACGAGGTGAGAAGTAGTAATGATATAATAACGTTTGCTGGCCATTTGTGTCTTGCATAGAGTCTGTAAAACTGCCATTGTGAGGTCTTTTCATATTTGTGTCAGCTTTTTTGACAAGAAAAAGAATTTTGACTGCCAGCCCTACAAATTCCTTTCAGAAAATGAAAGTCAAGCTGTTTTCTCCAGCCAGCATGTTATTCCCATTAATAAAGATTCTTTGTTAAATTTGCTTGCCCCCTATGCATATCTAGTTGGGCTTGCTCATCGGGAAGATAGGGCAAATTGGTTTCTGTACTTGCATTTAATCTGTGGCTTGTTATATCTTGCATTGTTGTTATTTTCCATGTTGTATCAATTCTGTCATGTTATGTCATCACATTTTGGGGGCTGGTCTCTTCTCTCAAGTAGCAAGTGACAGGACGAGAAGAAAAGGCCTCAACTTGCACCAAGGGCAGTTGAGATTGGATGTGAGGAAGAATTTCTTTACTAAAAGCGTTCTCAGGTATTGGAGTGAGTTGTCCAGGGCAGTGGTGGAGTCCCCATCCCTGGAGGGATTGAAGAGTCGTGTAGACATAGTGCTGAGGGACATGGTGTAGTCAGGGACTTGTCAGTGTTGGGTTAATGACTGGACTGGATGATCTTAAAGGTCTTTTTCAATTGAGGCAATTCTGTGATAAGGTATAGTTAAAAACTTACTATTTTTTATATAAAGTAAATGTAGTCAGAGAATATACACAATGACAGTTAAAAGATGATATGATAACTTTAAGCTCTTTACACACAGTAAATGTTAAAATAATTGACTTAATAAAATCCTTCCTCAGGAGCTGCTTGTTTCACGTTTTCCATTAAACAATCCCCACCCTCTACTTTTTCAAATGAAAACCATGCTTGCCTGCAATACAGATCTAGGCCTTCACCTATCCTTTTTTTTTTTCAGTATGCTTACCTGCTCACCCTGTCAAAATCAGTAATTTGTATAAATTAGTTGATCTTTGCAAGCACCCTAAAGCTGTCTTAAAAAAACTGTCTCTGTATTGCTTAAAGTCAATCTCGTTTTAAAAGCCTACATAATATCTCCATGTAAGAATCTTCGCCTATAGTTCTAGTCACAATATCCCAGTATTACTTTGTTTTATTGTAGATGTTTATTACTAACTTTCAGTCCTGTTCTGTGTCTTACTTGTACAATGATAATCATCTTGCAGTGTGGATCTGAGTGTAATATGGAAAACTAAGTTGTAAAATCTCTGGTTGTTCTTTGTGTTGTTAGTTTGGCAGATTTTAGAACAATTTTTGTTTTACAGGGAAAAAAAACATCCACATACTGATTTTTCAAATGTGTATGAACTCTGCATCCATGTTTATACCACATTCAGCAAAACAATTTCCTAATTTTTCTTAGGATTTTTGCTTCCTTCCATAATGTAAATAAATAATTGCAATGTTCTAGGATGTACAGACCAGATATAAGGCAAAAAGCATAAGACAGCGGTACATCAGTTTATTGAATTTTTACTTTTTATGTTGCAGATCAGCATAATGACTTTACGAATGTTTGAGCACCTTTTGCAAAAACCCAATGAGCACATTCTTTATAATTTGGTTCTGAGAAATTTAGAAGAAAGAAACTATATGGAATACAAGCCTCTCTGTCAAGAAGATAAAGATGTGGTAGAGAACGGACAGATTGCAGGAGCAGTGTAAGTTTGTTTGTTGAGGGAAG